CAGGAAGGCCCTTAAGGCCAGGACTTGACCTGAGGCTTAGTTCACTATATATATATAGAAGCTGAAAAGGCAGAAAGAAGCTTGAGAAAGTGGAAGGAACTGAAATGAGCTAAAAAGTGTGGAATTACCTGAAAAAGCTAAAAACAGCATCAAAACAGCTAAATAGTAGCTGAAAGAGCAGAAAAAGCTGAAACTGACAAAAGCTGAAAGGAGCATAACAAGCTGAAATTAGCATCCATCCATCCATTATCTTTACCCGTTTATTCCATTTTGGGTCACGGGGGTCGCTGGTGCCCATGTCCAGCAATCACTGTGCGAGGGGCGGGGTACACCCTGGATGGGTCGCAGGTCCATCACAGGGCCACATAGAGACAAACGAGACAAACAACCATTCACTCTCTCACTCACACCTAAGGACAATTTAGAGTTACCAATCAGCCTAACATGCACATTTTTGGTCTGTGGGAGGAAACCGGAGTACCCGGAGAAAACCCACGCATGCACGGAGAGAACATGCAAACTCCACCCAGAAAGGCCCCTGGACCGGGGTTTGAACCAAGGACCTGCTCGCTGAGAGGCAGCAGCTCTACCAGTTGCGCCACCGTGCTGCCCTGAAATTAGCATAAAGAAGTTAATTGGGCTGAAAGTAGCAGAGATTACCATGAAAAACTTGAATTTATCTGAAAACAGCTTAAATTAGCTAAAAAAGCAGTTGAAAAGGTAGAACAAGCTTAAATTAGCAGAAGAACACAGAAAGAATATGTTTGCCCAATTATGCTGGATGAATAAATGAGCAAAAAATAGTGGAAATTATCTGAAAAAAGCAGAAAGAAGCAAACACAGCTGAAAAGTACTTAAAAAAGCAGAAGGAAGCTGAAATTGCCAGAAGTGGAGAGAATACATTTTTGCTGAATTAAGCTGAAAAAGTTTAAAAGGGGTGCAAAAAATGTGGAATTAGCTGAAAAAGCTAAAATTGACATAAAACTGCTAAATAGTAGCTGAAATAGCAAAAAAATAAAAATAAAAGCTGAAACTTGCTAAATAAGGTGAAAGGAGCATAACAAGCTGAAATTTGCAGAAAGAAGTTAGAAGAAGCACAAAACTGTTGTAGTTAGCAGAAAGAATCTGAAAAGTAGCACAAAACAGCTAAAAAAAAAAAACCACATCTGAAAGTTGCTGAAAAAAGTTTAAGTTTGCACAAGGAAGCTGAAAGAAGCTGAACCAGAACAAAATGTGAAAGGAGCAGTGAAAAGTTGTAAACACATCTAAAGATTTGAAGGATGTAAAATGAGCTCAATTCATTTTCTATGATTAAAAACATGGCAGAAAAGGCTAAATATTTCAAAAAGCTAAAGTTGTACCAATACCAAAAGTCATAGCAGGACTGTCCTGAAAGAGCTGAACGTTTTAATGTATGATTTGTTGAAAGAAATAGCACAAAAATTACGGAACAAGAAAGATGCTGAAAAACATATGGAAGAAAAATGGATCGCAGTAGAGTGAATGCTTCAAAAACATTCACACATTTCTGATCATGACTGATTTGTGAAAATGCTGTAACTTGATGGTCAGGATTCAGGCTCAAGTTGTTTTTGGATGACACTTTTCACACCTGAGTGTGTGAAAAGGCCGATAGTTTGGTTGCATGCCCTGTGTGTGACTGCTAACTTTCTCCGTCCCTTTGCATGATGTGTGTGTTGTGTGCCCTAACCCCTGAGCAGGACAGCATTGATGCATTTGGAGACAGCTGAAGAGGGCCCAACCAACCAGGTACTGCACATTCACAAGTCCATCGCCAGAGCTGAGTCCATTGCTGTTTATTTTATTAGTTCGTTTTGCCTTTATTTTGCTGCTGGATGGATGTTTGTTAATTCGTTTGTGTAATAATACACCTAAAATTATTTTTAAAAATGATTTTCTAAATGATCTGTACATTTTTCTGAAATGTTTGTATTATTTAAAGATGGCGTTTACAGCGTTCCAGTTGAATGATTCACAGTTTTATTTTCTTCCATATTAGACACTGCAGAAGGACAAACTACCTCGCCGCAGCCCCCACCTTTTACATTACCCAAACATTTAGACCAAATGTCCTCCCCCGCCTGTCCTTCTCAAGACCCTTCCTGCGGTCAACTGCAAAACCCGACCCTGGATCAGTCTCAGTCTGCCCCGGCCAACATGGAGCAGGCGCTGGCACCTGGTCTCCAGGAGCATCCTCAGCCGTCGTCCTCAGCAGCTGATTCTCCTCCACCTCAAAATGTCCAGTCTCACCCTCTGCCTGTCCATAGTGACCCCAATGACCCCCCTGTATCCAGCCTTTCATCAGAAATGTCCCATACTTGTATTCCTCCTGCAGAAATGTCCACAGCGTCCCAGGATCCAAGGGGTGAGGTGCAGCCTGGAGTCACAGAGGGGGGTGTTGGAAATGATGAGGTAGACAACAGTGCAATGCACACCACAGCAGAGGACCTTTCACCCAGTCAGCCCATGGAGCAGGAAGTGACTGATTCCACAGAGACCTGTCCAGCAGCTCCAAGCCAACCCGAGTCTGTTGAAATGGAGTGTCCCTCTGTCTCCCACAGTGTGCCGTCCACTGAGAGGGACCAACCTGACGGAGACCACCGGCCCAGCTCTGACAGCATCCCGTCCCTGGCAGTTGCTCTGAAGGAGCTTCACGAGCTGCTGGTGTTCAACAACCAGGCTCAGTCCCAAACCCGCAGCACCTCCTGCTCCCCATCGTATCCATGTGGACAAGACTCAGACAAGGCCTCTGAGCCCAGCACCCCAACACCTGAAAACACCCAGCCCACCCCCTCTACTGCCATTGCAGCTGATGCAGAAACAAGTGATGCCAAAGCTAACTGTGCTGCTGCGTCTGATGAGGAGCCATGTCAGTGTCTTGTGCCCGACCTCCCTGCTCAGGAGGAGCATCTCGGTGTGGGGACAGCAGAAACTGCAGAACAAGGACCACCACGGTGCCCAGATGGCTCCAAAGAGATAACAGAAGATGAACAAGAGCAGGACAACACCATCAACATCAGGATGGCTCAGCCGGAGCCAGATGCTTCTCCTGGTTCTGAGCTGGTCCCTGAGTTCAGGGAACCACACGAGGAGCAGCCAGGAGGAGAGGACGTCGATGCACAAGCCTCCGTTACCAACATCCGAGATCATATCCAGACTTTCCTCAGCCCTTTGTCGGTGGAAGTCGACTCTCCTGCGGATGTCTCAAGCACCTCCTCCTCTGCTCCTCTTCTCACTCAGGCCCTGCAGCCTTCAACCCCAGCCCCTCTTCTTCCCTCCACGCATCCCTTTATAGAACAGTTTCCAGCTGAGCACGTCCAGAGAATCCAGGCAGCAGGCTTTTCTGCCAGGGAGGCTGTGGAGGCGCTGGAACAAGCCCACGGGGTCGTGGAGCTCGCTCTGCTTGCACTTCTGGCTCGCAGCATCACTGTGCCCACCTAAGACTCTAAAGCAATCATGTCGGCCCCCAGCCTCCCGAATCAGCATCTGTCTTATTTATATCGTGTAAAACAGGGAAATGCTCTCATGGTTTGTCATACAGAATATCCCAGAAGAAACAGGACATCTGGCAACATGTGTCTACCTATAACAGATGTGAGGTGTGTTTGCATGCAGGTGTTTTGGGTGCCCACCCATTGAACTGGTTTTTAGAGGTTCAGCATTATAGGTTGCTTTTTTTTGTTGTTTTTCATTCTTGTTTTGTTCCCAAAAATTGACATGTTCTTAAAAGTAAAAATGTTTTAAACCATTAAAGATAAAAATAATTCTCATTCATGTGGCTTAGAAATGTTTTTATGATCCTAATTTATGAGTCATGAAGTTAGTAGACTCTAAATGGGTTAGTTTCATGCTAACTTTAATGGTTGGACAGAAATTTGGGTATTTGGAACAATTTACTGATAAACCATGTTGGTGATTTTTTTTTTCTAGCCTATTTATTTAAAAATCTAAACGCTGCAGTATGATCAACTTTACAAATATTTTCCAACACTATATAAGTGGCAATCCCTAAATTGAGAAATTAAGTTATAAAAACAATGTTTTTATTCCACTTTGAACAATAAATTACTTTTTTAATCAGTATGTTTTGAAGCAGAAGGTTTATTGCACTGCCTGTGTTTTTCTCCACAGTTTGAAAACTGCATTGTGTTTTCTTTAAAAAAAAAATCTTTATTTTGTGTCAAATCCTACTTGAAAACATCCATTTTTCATTTCGAGTACCGGTATATGGCCATTTTTGTCGAATGTTTAGTGCAACAACAAATATCAAATTCAGTGGCTTTATTTGAGTCGAGGCAGATTTAATTATTTACTTTTATCTTGTATGAAATTTTAAAACTGCAAATAAAATTAAACTAGTATTTGTATAGATTTTGTGCATTCTGTGTGTTTTTTAAAGGGAGAATCTGTGATTCTAAAATAAAGCCTTAAGATTTAGATATATGAATAATTAAAAGGTAATATTTAAAATATTAATCTTTTTTTTTTAAACTTTTTTAATTAAAAATACAGCCCAGCTAAGATTTTTCTGAGCCCTTATTTGATTACGATGGCAGGGGAAGTGGAATTAAAAATCGCACACACACCTGCTGCTACTTAAACTCAGATTAGAGGCATCTCAAACTATTTAGCCTAAGTGGAGGTTTGTTCTCAGCTGCACTTTGGACAGGTTTAAAAAGAGACTTGTTGTTTTAGAGCAAACTAACTCATCATGGCTTCTTTCAGAGGAGAGCCCGGTTATGGTTTTAGAAGCGAGCTTGTTGAGGCTGCTAAGATCCCCGCTGATCTGCAGTCCTGCTTCAGAGACAGTCGTTTAGCAACTCATTTGGTTGGACAAATGCCAAACCTTAGTCTTGGTAAGCAGACTCGTGAAGGGTTTTCCAAGCTGGAAACCAGTGCTGATAATGGCCGTGACTCCATGGACCAGCTGGATGAGGTGTGCAGGTGAGCTCTGCAGCAGTGGGAACTCTCAGTTACAATTTTATTTTATTCAGGTTTTGTGATGAAACGTTTCCGTCTTGTTTTAGTCCTCCTCTGGAGATGCCTTCTGACGTGTTCATCCGCATGTGGGATCATAAGTCTCGTTCGTTGTTGCTGTCTGCACCCGAACCTCAGGAAGATCCCCAGAATGAGAGTCACAACTGGTGAGATGGGGCGTAAAAAATGTGTTTTGGCATAAACTGGTTTAACTCATGACTTTTCATCTTTTGGTAAATGTAGGGAAGATTCAGTTGAAGAAGTCCCAAATGTGACATTCCAGTCAAAGTACTTTGATTTTTGTAAGTTTTTAACTTTTTCTCTCTGCTCCTGAACTACATTGAAAAGCAATAAATGACTGCTCATCTTTCTTTTTGCAGTTCCTCTGTATCAGAACTACTCCCTGCAGGCTGTGAGAGATGAGGTGCACAAACTCAAAGACAACGTTTCTGAACTGATAAACCTCCAGTCTATTCATGGTCTGAAGGAGGTGCGCAGTCCAGAGTCAGAACCTGCAACATCTCACCGCTTTGAGGGTCAGCGGTCCCTTTTTAGCCCCCCTGGCCGTTTTGAGGGCACATCAGTGAAGTCTCCTGCTAGTCCTACTGCTACTCTAACTCTACTCTCCACTCCGTCTCAGTCTAACTTGACCTCCAGCACTCTCTGGCAGGACTTGGAAGAAGTGAAAACATCTGACCTGCTGAACGTCTTGGGACCTAAAGAGATCAGCCTGCAGGAGGTTGGTAAAGGCTCTTGTTTTGTCTTTTTGTGAAGGGGGAGATTACAAAAAGTAGAAACATTAATCTCAGTTTTTGTCTCCATAAAGACAATGTTTGAGCTGATGGGCTCTGAAGCATCTTACTTGAAGAGTCTTGGTGTGTTGGTCCATCATTTTTATGCGTCCAAAGCTCTGAAGACGACTGTGTCCAAAGTAGAGCATGGAATTGTGTTTTCCAATGTTTGCCAAGTGATGGCTGTCAGCTCAAAGTGAGTTTCCTAAAGACCAGACCACTCTTTGCTTTTTTTTTTTTTTTTTTTTTTTTTTTTTTAAACGAGGCGTGATTTTATTTTTTCTAAAAGATTTCTGACAGACCTGGAGACTCGACTGGAGGAGAGCCTGCTGATATCTCAAGTTGGAGACATTGTTCTCAGGCACTCTCAAGAGTTTTGTCAAAACTACACGACCTACGTGATCAACTCGACCTACCAGACGTCCATGTTAAACCAGCTGCTGTAAGTTCGTAGATCACCGCTGGCTGTTTTCTAGATGTCACCAGGTTTTTATTGCACGTGACTTGACTGATTTTGTTTAAGGGAGCAAAAGCAGGACTTTGCGTACGTGCTGAAGAAGCTTGAGAGCGACCCCATTTGTCAAAGACAGTCCTTCAAGTCATTCCTGGTTCTTCCTTTCCAGAGAATCACACGCATTAAACTTCTCCTGGAGGTAAACTTTAAATGGGTTTAACATGAATGCATCCTAAATCTATTGTGCTTTTTTTTTTTTTTTATTTGGTCCCCTCTTTTGTTTTTATTTCAGAGCATCCTGAGACTGACTGAGCCAAACTCTGATGCAGCCTCAAATCTTAAAAAAGCAATCAGTGCTCTCCATGAGGTACCAAAGTGTTATCTCCTTCATTCTACTATGCCAGTTTTAATCATGTGAAACCTCTTGGTGTGTGTGGTTTTTTTATTTTTTTTTTTTTTACCCTGGTTAGATACTGACTGCTTGTAACGAGAAGGCCAAAAAAATTAAACAAATTGAGGAACTTATCTGCCTGGAAATGCTGATGGACTTTAACAACATTAAGGTATGTATATCTTTTTTTATTTTTTCCCCTTCAACTTGAATAAAATGATTTTTATTTATCCTGCTGCAAATAACTTAAATGGTTTTCTCCAGTCTGTCCCTTTGGTCATAAGCACACGTTTTCTGATCCGCCAAGGACCTCTGAAGCTGCTGAATACGGACGGGACGTGGAGTAAAAAAAAGTCCTTCAATAAGATCTACCTCCACCTCTTCAATGACCTTTTGATCATCTCCTCCAAAAAGTATTCTCATTTCTGACATTTGAGTTCAAATACACTCTGCAATTTTTAGCAGCAGCATGACTAAATCTGATCTAGTTTATTATTTTTATTTATATTTTAAATAATCCAAGGTTTGCTCTACATCAGCTAAACTCATTTTGTTGTGTTCAGGTTTCGGAGGTTCATGGTGGTGGATCATGCTCTCTTCCCTGAACATGTGACCGTTGATCATCTGAACACTGAAGCTCTGGGACTTTCTCCAGACTCCTTTCTGTTACTCCTGTCTCAGAGGCAGCGAGGGCGGCGGACTGCCCTGGTCCTTGTTGCATGTTCAAAGTAATACAGAAGCGAACGACTAAGTTTATAATCTATTAGCAGTTGTGTATCGAATATCAAAATTTAATATCTAATCAATCTTTGTTGTAATTGCAGGTCGGATAAAGAGAACTGGATGAAGGCTTTGTCGCCTTGAGTGATGGGTTCCAAGGATTTTTATTTTTTTTAAACTTGTTTCATCACTTCAGTTTGCAATTATTATTTTTTTGTTTGTTCTTTAATGAAGGCACTGTTCAGCTCCATGTTAAAACACCCACATTTTGATAGAATGACCAAACACAGCAGTTGCACTCTGGAAAGTTCTTGTGACAGTTTCTGGTGTGTGGGTTTGTATTTAAAAAATGTTTTAAACTTGTTTCATCACTTCAGTTTGCAATTATCATTATTATTATTTTTTTGTTCTTTTAATCAAGGCACTGTTCAGCTCGATGTTAAAACACCCACATTTTGTTAGAATGACCAAACACAGCAGTTGCACTCTGGAAAGTTCTCGTGACAGTTTCTGGTGTGGTGTGGGTTTTTATTTTAAATTTTTTTTTTTTTTTTTTTTTTTTTTTTTTTTTTTTTTTTT